AAGTTAGTCTAGAGAAAATACCAAAAAGATTTTTTATTTTATTTTTAGGTAGTATAGTAACTCCCCCTTGTTTTTTCTTTGGGCCACGGTTCTTTTCCCAGGGATTAACTTGAACCGGGTGTAGGTAGTTTTTGTTATTTTTTTTTACTTTTTAGTTAATATTGATGGGCTACGAGCTGAAATAGAAAGAGAAACCCTTGGCGTTAATACACCTGAACACAGTCGACACTAGAGTGTAGCGCCTAGTCTCAGTGGTTGACTCTTGCTAAATTGCCTTAAATTTGTATGTTTGTAACTGACTTGAACACTCAAAAGAGAGTATCTTGACTAACTAATCTGGAGTGAGTCATATGCCATGTGTGTGTGAGCTGTACTGTATTCTATGCTTTACATTTGATGCCTAGAACTTGCCCTGTGTGTTTGCAAAGCGAAATAGTAGCTTCATTCAGTCTTAGAAGTGATATAGGCATTTCTTTGTTAAGCCAGATATATAAAGTAAACCCACCTAAATGTAATACATCGTAGTTAACCCCGTTGAGCCTATAAGCCTGTTTCTTTGGCAACCACATTGCGAATCTTACCCAATTATTTGAATAGCCATCTGCTTGAACCCCTTTTACCTCCCATGAGCACTTGAATGGCCTTCACATATGCAAAAGTTAAAGTGTGGGGTGGTGGTTTGATTTTTGAGTGGAACCAATGAAATAGAGGAAAGGTGCAGTTTTGGAAGAGTAAAAGAAAAAGCGCCACGTAAAAAAAATGAATAAATGTAGTGGTTGATAAGTGGTAGCTTGATACAAATGCACCTAAAGGAATGAGATGTTATAAAGAAAATGTGGTGGAACGCCTGGTTGACATAAGTATGATTTGGAAGGTTAATGTGATTGTATTAAAAGTGCTTAGGGAGGTTAGTCACTATATCCAAATATATCCTACCCATCCCTTAGCCTACATTACAACCAAGTGAAGTCCTAATTGATCTTAGACTGAATAGGTTCGATTAGTAGAGTAGTACACTACGGGCAAGCCTATGGTGCATCTTTGTGGCATGGGAATGTTCTTTTTGAGAGTGAGCGAATTTTGTCCATCTGAGTTCCTAATTGTTCTTAATAATATTAATTGTGGAACTACTCTCTTGTGTGATGTGAGGGCATGTGATTCACGAAGGAAAGGTAAGTCTTGACTTCTGTATAGAGTAGTTTGAGTAAGTGCAAATATTGCATGGCATGAAAGATTCGACTTTTGAGGCAAAGGTTGTTCACTAATAGGTGCAACTTTAGTGAATTGTTCATGGTGTGATTCGTTAAGGGTAGGGCTGTGCACGGATCGGATTGGATCGGATTTAGCATATTTCGGATTCGGATTTCGGATTTCGGATTTTGAAAAGGGCAATCCGAATCCGATCCGAATTAACATTGGATTGGATCGGATTTTAAATTTTGGATCGGATAATTTTTCGGATTGTCGATCGGATTGTCACAAAATTGCTGGTTAGGACTTAGGATCATTCATCTCCTAAAACACCATTCAATCAGAAAAAACCATTCATCTCCTAAAGCACCATTCAATCATAATCAAAAACATTGAGTGAATAAACACCATTCATCTCCTAAAACACCATACAATCATATTGAGATTCACTGTTGGTTGTGGAATCAGTTGAAGCATCTCTTTCACAAAAAATTTCAACAATTTGAAGTTTATTCGGTGTCTCTGTCTCATCTTCCATCTACCAAAACAAAAAAAAATCAAAGTAATATCAAAAGTTGAAAAATAGAACATGAAAGAGACATAAAAGACATAAGAGAAGGGAAGAGAGGCGGAAGAAAGAGGCATAAAAATCAAAGTAAAATCAGAAGTTTGAGACTTTGAGTCTTTGAGACTCTTCAGTCTTCACTGAAGAGAAGAGAGGCGGAAAAATCTAAGTGAGTGAGGGGGTGTGTAAAAAATGAATAAGCCTAACCCTAAAATTTTAGTGTAGTATTTATATAGGTACATATAGTTTCGGATTTCGGATCGGATCGGATATAGATCATACCAATCCGAATCCAATCCGAAAATCCGAAATTTTATAAAACACAATCCGTATCCAATCCGAAAATCCGAAATTCGAAATCCAAAAATCCGAAATAGAGTGGATCGGATCGGATTTCGGATATCCGATCCAAATGCACAACCCTAATTAAGGGGAAAGCTGAGGGAAGGAACGTTGATAGAGTGTGGTGGATTGCTCGAGGACTAGCAATGATTTAAGTGTGGGGTGTTGATAATAGGCTACTTAGACGATATTTATACCCTAATTATACCATGCTTTATTATTGTTTTATAGGCTCAATGATAACAAAATGCTCTAATTGGTGTTCTTTTGATTCACAGGGACTAATCCAAGTTAGGAAGAACTATAGAGTGTTTTGGAGTCAATAATGTGAAGAAAACGTCCAATCAAGAAGCACCCAAGCGGAAAGAAGCAAAAAGTGTACGGGTTTTGAATCCACCGCGACCGCGGTGGGACCACGGCAGGTCACAAATGCGAGGCAGAATGTTTGGCTCTCACCGCGGTCGCGCTGCGGCCGCGGTGAACTGTGCAGTACCCAGAACTTGTGGGACCAAAGTGTAACTCGGAAAAAACTTATTCCAAACCCTCATAAACTCAAAAAGCTCGCCCAAGAAAGGATCAAGCTTGTTTTTATACTTTGGAGGCAAGAACAAGTGTGAGAAGATCAACCAAACATTAGAGTTTTTCTATCTTCTCTTTATTATTGCAATTTCAAATTATGAACAATTTAGTAGTTTTCTCTTGCTTTGTTATGAGTAGCTAAACATTTGATCTATGGTTGATGGAACCAATTGTTGGATGAAGTTTTGATCCAACTTTGTTATAATCGAGCCGGATTTATTATATGATTGTTCAACTACATTTTGTATGGTGATTAATTGAATGGACCCTATCTTAATCGTGTCTAATTGCCTTGTATTGCTTGAGAAAGAATAATAGATTAGACTGCTGTTGAACAACACTACTTTTGGATAATTGAAGAGATTCATTACTTGAACTTAAAAGTGGGGTTAGAGATAACGAAACTTTGGTGGGATAATTCAGAGCTGCACAAATTGTCAGCTAGAGTAGTTCGAGAGAATGCTCTAGTAAATTATCATAGTTGATCGAGAGATAATTACGATAACCCATAGCTCATAATCCTCATAGAGTATTACGGCGAGATCATAGCAAAAGAGTTAAGACTTAAACTAGCAATTGGGGAAATCAATATCTTAGACCTTTTTTACCATTGAATTATCTTTGATTTAGCATATTTTTATTTTTAGTATCATTTGAAGTAGTTAAACAAAAACCCAACCTTTATTGATAAAAATCTTGCATCTGAAAATTGTTTGAGTTGATAATAGCATTGCCAAGAGTTGTAATAGATAGGTTAATTCCCTGAGGATTCGACTCCGGACTTAAAACCGGATTATATTTACAACGACCGCTTTGTCTTTTAGAAGACATAGTTGGGCGTGATCAGCAAGCTTAGTGTTCATGTTGTCAATGATGTAGCGTACATCGGAGGCCTTAGGCTTACAAGTGAGAATAGAGATTCCCAAATATTTACCAAAATTTTCACTTATTCTAATGTTAAGAATATTGGCAATGTGAGTTTTGGTTTGAGTATCACAGTGCGAGAAGATGATTTTTGATTTGGTATTATTGATTTTTTGCCCAGAGAGTTGAGAGAAGAAGTGAAGGCTACGCATAATTGTGTGGATTGACTTTAAGTTGGCATTGGCTGAGGCAGTTAAGTCATCCGCATAGAATAGATATGAGAAAGATGGGCCAGTGGGATTGAGTTTTATTGGGTCCCAGAGTCTAATGTTAACTTGGTGATTTATATATTTGGACAATAATCCCATGCAGAGTATAAAAAGATACGGAGACATTGGGTCGCCTTGTCGTATACCTCTTGATGGATAGAAAAAATCTGTTTTGGAACCATTGACTAGGATAGCATGTACTAATACAACTCATAATAAGCTTTGTGATACGCGGGGAAAAATTAAAGAAGAGTAAGGCACGGCAAATGAAGGACCATTCAAGTCTATCGAAAGCTTTTTCAAGGTCAACTATTAGATGGACCTTCCCCTGACGACCTTTAATTTTTTGAAAATGGTGAATCATTTCTTGAATAATAATGGCGTTGTCACTAGTTCTTCTTCCCTTGAGGAAGCTACTTTGGTAAGGGCCAATTAGTTTGTCAAGGTAAGGCTTGATTCTGTTCACAATAATTTTTGTAATAACCTTATAAATAGTGTTGCATAGTCCTATGGGACGAAAATTATTGACGCTATTCGCGTTGTGAAATTTGGGATGAGGCAGAAAATGATTTAGTTTTTAATATAAAGCTTTTGATAAATAATGTAATGTTTCATTTTCTAGAGTTTTATACCACTGTACATAAGTTTTACAACGATTAAAATTAATAATGTAAGTTTCACGTTGCAACTAAATGTAATCTTTTTGATCATTCAGATTAAATTATGTTGTACAAGTACAAGCCCACCAAACTAGTCTTTCTTGTTTTGGTGCTTATTCCTTAAGATAAGATATTTCACCTCCTTACTCCAAGAAAAAGCACAAAGTTAAAAAACAAGCATAGCACAAGATCTTTTGTAGGTACCACTAAAGGATGTGATACAGTGGATGAGACTGCTCCTCCCTTAACCAGATATCTCGAATTCGAGTCCTGAGTATGGAAAAATTCTTGTTAGGGAGCTTTCCTTGAATGAAGCCCTATCCGGTGCGAATCCGAATATAGTCGAGCTCCAATGTGGATACCGACACCGGGTGAAAAACCAAAAAAAAAAAAAAAACTTTTGTAGGTCATTGCTAATAATTGTTGAGGCTTAAGGACAAAGTTTGCATCTTTGGGGTCATGATAACAATCACATGACCAATTTGAAAGATGAAAAAAGAGCAAGGGGTGTTACATCATTGGACCACAACAAGACATAATTGACTGTACCCCACTCCCTAAGGAGTAAGGTCCCCTTTCTCTAACCTCATACCCCACTCCCTTTATTCCCATGTCCCAATGCTTCCTTAACCAACAACACTCCATTCTTAAACCTTAATCCCTTCATTACCTTTGACTAAACTCCCCCTTTCTCTCTTCATCTCCTAAACTACAATGTGAAGCAATGAAAATACTAGAGGTAATGTGATGAATCTCATTTATTTGTCTTGTACATTAGTACTACTAATATATGCTATTGTCTCTCATTTTCTTCGTTCCCTCTGTTTCTTCATCTGCTAAACTACAATGTCAACATTGAAAAGTCTCCATTTAAGTAATCAAAGTACTATGTAATCTAATGAACATCATTAATTTGTCTTGTAGATAAGTACTGGTTCTATATTATTACTATCACTTTGTCTCTTGATTCACTCTACTTAAATCTCACTTCACTTTATATGTTTTTTTTGCCTTCCTCAGCTTTTTCTCTCTCTGCTCTACTTCCATGCTTGTCCAAACCCTAGATCTGTCCCCCTCTTAGGTAACCTCGACAACCTTTGCTTCTATATCTCTCACACACACACAACAGAAAAAGAACACGTTTCTCTCTCTCTCACCTCTGTGTATATTTATTTATGTTTGTGTATTAACTGCTGTTTGTGTTGATTTCTAGGTGCAGCTTTTTCAGTGACTGTGAAAAAAGTGGAAAGTGGGTAAAATTTAGTAAAATATTTTGTTGGGAGATGAGTGGCAGCACCTCTACGTCAGTGGTGGGGGGAGGGGGGTATGGGTATGGTTACCGGCCACCATTCACGGCAGTGCAATGGCAGGAGCTGGAGCATCAGGCAATGATATACAAGTACCTGGTGGCAGGTCTACCTGTTCCACCGGACCTCGTTGTTCCAATTCGTCGGAGTTTTGAAGCCATCTCTGCTAGGTTCTTTCATCACCCCAGCTGTATGTTTCTTCTTTCTTCCTCATTTGCCACTGTCTTCTTTTCATATGTTCGTGAAGAATTGATGGTTTACTTCACTTTGATGGTTTTATTGAAGCATGCAGATCTGGAAAAGGGCTCCTTTTTTGGCATTCTTGAATACTGTCTGTCTTGTGATGACTGTGCAATTGTTACTTTTTTGTTTGTATTTAATATGTACATATATGGTTTGGTTCTAGGAGAGACTTTTTTCCGTTGGGGTTGGCATCTAGTGAGTTATTGCTTTGTCATTCTTTGTGTCAATGTAGTAGAAACACACTTGTTTTTGCCTTTTAGGGGCTTATCCGATGTTTATTTAAGTTGTACACCACCATGAACAGTGGCAGATCCAGAATTTTAACTTGATGGTTCAATCTCTTAAACTCTTAGACTGAACTCGCTATACTTTTAAAATCATGGTTCAGAAACTAATATTTGTTGATACATCCGCCACAGATCATGTATAGTTTACAGATGTGCTTATTTTCGATACCATGTATAAGTGCTCCAGTAGTGGGAACTTTGTGTTTTGGTATGCTCCTATTTCATTGATTTCTGATTGCTGTGTGGGTAATCAGATCTTGCTATATATTTTCTTTTGCCGTAAAAGGACTTCTTTCAGGGCAGTGGTGCGGCTATACTACATTATCTCAGAGCTTAATGGTTTGTATATCATGTGCAGCGGGCTATTGTTCCTATTATGGAAAGAAGTTTGACCCTGAGCCTGGAAGGTGTAGAAGGACTGATGGAAAGAAATGGAGGTGCTCGAAAGATGCATATCCTGACTCCAAATATTGTGAGCGGCACATGCATCGAGGTCGCAACCGTTCAAGAAAGCCTGTGGAATCTCAATCTGCTTCCCAGTCCTTGTCGACTAGTATGTCGCTCATTACTACTGGGAGCAGCAATACAAGAGGAAGTTTCCAAAGTAGCAGCAGTGGAAGTTTCCAGCACATGCCATTATATTCTGTTGCTAATTCAGAAGAACTGAATTATGGAAGCAGTGCAACAAAGTTGCAGATGGAGCCTGTGTCCTATGGAATAGATACCAAGGACTATAGGTACCTCCTTTTTGTCTTAAGTAGGACTTCTTTTCCTTGGCTACACTTGTCTTGGTGTTCTCGTGTTACTTCGACTACTTTGTGGCCTAAATTTGTTTTTCTGTCAGTTGGCATATAAACTTTATTAACACTCTAACTGAATCTGTCATCTTAATTACTCCAACATGTTGCTTCAAGCCTTGATCTTGGGCTGTGTATCATGTGGTTTAACACTCTACTTGTTCCAATGAGTGATTCTATGTTTTGTCTTTTCTTTTTTGGCTGATAAAGATAGAAGTCTATCGGAAACAGCCTCTCTACCTCCGCAAGGTAGGAGTAAGGTCACACATCACCCTTTCCAGACCGACCCCACACTGCAGAAATATATTCGGTATGTTGTGTTATTTGGCTGATAAAATATAGAAATTTGACTCAAATCTTTTACATCAGGAGGATGCTATATAGGGACTTGGGAGACTGTTATCATGGCATCAACGTTTTTTTGCCCATTTTTTGTCTACTTATGACCCTTTTTTGTCGCCTGTAAGCCTTCACTTCATCTTTCCACTTTTGCTAATTTGTGACCTACCAGTTCGGTAGAATTTGAGGGCCTGATAAGTTATTATTGATCCACCTCTAAAAGCTGTTGCCTACTCCCTCTGGAATTGTTAAGGTCCTGACCCGAATAGGTGCAAAAAGACTGATTATGTTCAGATGCAGCAAGTCATATCATAAGCAAGATGATAAATAGTGACTGAAAAATACAAATAGCTATTGAGACTCACGTGTTCCTTTTAAATGTAGCATTGGCCCTTCAGGTATGTCAATTTTCAGGTCAGAGTTGTGTTGTGATCCTGTATCTATGGTTGGATCCTGAGTGGGTATAGATATTTGAGGTGCATGTGTGAGTGTGACGCCGCTCAAATTTCATGCAACATGATAACACTCGTGTGAATGCTGGTGTCGGTTGTAGAGTTGTGTCCTTGAATGTGCTTTTCTTGCTACTAAATGGCAATTGTTTATTTCTCTTGTAAATGAACCTGGGAGTTGCACTTATCCTAGAGAGAGTTGCATAACCTAGTCGCAGGAATATTTATCAGACAAAAAGGAAATAGAATTTTGATTTGAACTTCGACCAACTTTGGCAATTCTGTCTCTAATAATTGAACACCATTATAAGTAACATTAATATGCATTTCTCTTCCATTTTTGGAAATCTTCGGACCATTCTAGAAGTTGCAATAATAACATACGCCCGAGATTATTGGTTGTTATCAATGAAGGAAATAGAATATATTTTCAAAGACATCAATTTTAACACGTCAAATTTAGTTTTTTGGAAGTTGGAAAGCATATATGCTTGCCTTTAGTTGTACTTACAAGGAGGAGTAACATCAATATATGCATGCAAGACACCAAAGGCTTCTCCTATATAGGCTCCTAATGTTATGTCAAAACAAGAAGGATAAAGTATTTTCCAGTTACTTATCAAGTCATAAGCTAGATCCCACTAGGCAGAGTATGTGTTTATTAGCATGAAACTGCCGAGCTCAGTGATGGAAGGTTGGAAGTGTTTTGATCTACCACGATAGTCTTGTATTTTTCACAGGACTCATCTCTAATGATTTGGAGAATGACAACTCAGTTTTAATTGGTGATTACTTTACACCAACAGTAGTCTGTCATACTCCAACTAATAGCATATGGCGCTGAAGGATGCATATCCCGTGCTTACTGTGCATCAGCTCCCTTTGTGTTTATGTCACTCCTGTCTTATCTTTGTTTCTGAGTGCATTCTTCTTTCTTTTCTTGTGGGGGGTTTTTTTTTTTTGGGGGGGGGGGGGTAATTTTATCCACCCTATAAGGAAGTTGACAACAAAAATCTTGGCAATTTGAAGAAGCTCCGCTTACTCTTCTCATGCCCTTATTCTGATGAAGTGTGTACTTATTGTTTGGGTAGTTTGCCTTTGTCCCTTTACTAATACTGTTCTTGGTGCAGTCAGCTTGTATTGCCTTTGGAGAAATAAGTGTTGTAACATCCAGTTTCATCTAATGCCAAAATGTATCACAGGTATCTCCATGGAATTGCTCCTGATGCTGATGAGCATAATTTATCTTCAGAAACTTCTGCAACTGTCAGAAATTTAGGGATGGGGACCACCATGGACAGCACATGGGTATTGCCCTCTCAAGTTTCTTCAAGCCCCGCGGCGAGACCAAAAAATGATTCTCAGTTGCTGGGTAGCTCACAGCAGATGCATCTACCTAATCTACTTGAGCCAATGATTGATTCAACAATTTCAAAACGACGACACCAGCATTGCTTCTTTGGCAGTGAAATTGATTCACCTGGAACAGTAAAGCAGGAGCAGCAGTCAATGCGCCCTTTCTTTAACGAATGGCCCACTGCTAAAGAATCGTGGTCCAACCTTGATGATGAGGAATCCAACAAAAACAATTTCTCCACTACACAGCTCTCTATATCCATTCCAATGGCTCCTTCTGACTTCTCTTCAAGAAGTGCTTGCTCCCCGAATGGTGAAAATTGACATCCTAGGAAAAACAGCTTCTCCCATCTTACTGGTTTAGTCTTTTACAGCAAGCTTATTGATATCATTGGTTTTTTCTTGGCTGTAGATGCTTGAGGGAGCTGCCGCTGTAAAAACTCAGCAGTCTGGTGCTATGCAGATGAGCAGACATGCTAGTACTAACACGTCATCTGCTTGTATGAGCTTTATGCAACCTTCATGTTGCTGGAACATTGAGTTGTTCCATGTCTTTGTGGTTGATTTCCAATTTTCAACGATGTTTTCAGGAAAAAAACAAGCTGTCTTCAAATGCTGCCCGTGTTCGTTATAAAAAATAAATGTATTTTTACCAGTCTTTCTTCTGGTGTTTAGATGATGATTACTTTGTGGTTTCAATATTTGGTTATCCCTCAACGAAACTTTTATTTCATTCTCCATTTGTTTCACTTATTTTTCATGGTAGCCATCTTGAAAAGAAAAAGGCTTATTTTGGAGTGCTGAAGTAGAATCAAAGAGGCACCAATGAGTTTCCATAAAAATCACAACAAAATCTGTAAAAAAAAAAAAAAAATAGAAGGAAAAGCACAAGGAATTTCATTAGAGAAGATATACCTTTGGGAAAAATAAAAAGTTTGCAGCTAAATTGCACATATAGTTGGTTGGAAGCAGATCTTCTATCAGTTGGGAAATGGGTGAAAGCCATTTGGATTAGAAGTGAGATGTTGAATATATGGAAAATAAGGGTGTGTTTGGTACGAAGGAAAATATTTTTTTTGGAAAATAGGTGAATTTCTTACTTATTTTTTGATTTTGGTTAAGCAGTAGAAAATATTTTGAAAAATATATAATTCGGGCAAAAACTATATGAGACGACATGGATAAAGACAAGGGAGGGTGGTCGGTCGGAGTTTAGGGGCCTGGGTGGAGGGGGTAGGGGGTGGGTTGGAAAATAGGGTTGAGAAAGAGTTTTGAAAAATATTTTTCCTTCTTTTGGTAGGGAAGAATGAGTTCATGGGGAAAATATTTTTTAAAATATTTAAGCCAACCAAACATGAGAAAATTAGGGTGTGCTTGGTATGAAGGAAAATATTTTCCGAAATATATTTTTCAATTTTTCCATATTTAGTTGGCTTAAATATTTTGGAAAACATTTTCCTTGTGAACTCATTTTCCTCAAATTGAAAAAAAATGTTTTCTTTATCAAGAGAATGGAAGACATTTTCCAAAACGCCTTCTAACCTTCCCCACCCTCACCAACCCACCCCACCCCCTCCACCCCACCCCACCCCCCTCCTGCAAAAAAATTATTTTTTTTTACCTTTTTTTTGTTGCAATTTGAAATTTCTATTTGTTCGTTTTTCTGCACCACCTCTCCCCCCCCCCCCCCCTCCCACCCCTCACAATTATATTTTTTATTTTTTTTTTGTAATTTTAAATTTCTATTTTTTTTGTTTTTTTGCCCGAAAAAAATATTTTTTAAATATATTTTTCAGTTTTAGTTTTTTTATTTATCGGTTTAAAGGTTCAAAATTTTGCAAGTTCCAAAGTTATGAGTTCGGAGGTTTATGTGTTTGGAAGCTTACGAATTTAGAAATTATAAAGTTTACGGGTTTGAAAAATCGGGGTTCGAAAGTTTATGAAATTTGTGGGTTCGCAAGGTTGTTGGTTTGAAGTTTATGGCTTCATGTTATTATATCTAAATTATTTATGAATGCTCTTGAGAAGTCATTTTCCTTAATTTGCGTACCAAACACCGGAAAATGAATAAGATTATTACTTGTTTTCCAAGAAAATATTTTTTACGGAAAATATTTACCGGTATACCAAACATACCCTGGGAATATTTTCCTTCGTACCAAACACACCTTAAGTGAAAGCCATTTGGATTAGAAGCGACATGTGATTGAATAAATCAAGAAGGATATTTTTTACCGATTCAATCTCATGGAAGTAAACTATATTTACTGTTTTTTTAGTCGTACATTCATCTTTCATTGCACGTGTAAACACTATGTCCCCACTGGCTTTGCAAGTTAATTTACCAGACGAGTATATATTTGAGTATGAATTATTTGACCTCTTCAGTCTCAATATGGTATCAGACCAATGAATTTCCATCTCAATGAGGTAGTTTTACATCTTGACTATCTGCATCATGTCTGTTAGCTTAATCATGCTATATATGTGTAGATGATGAATTGCGGCGAGAAAATAAAATCAAGATCGAAAATATTACGACGATCATTGTATTTGATTTCAAATAATATGAGTGTACAAACTCTATGAATCCTCTGATTCTACTTTCCAATAGTAAATAAATTTAAGGGCCTTTGAGCTTGATCTTGAATATGTAGTTGTTGCCACAAAGGATGATCTTGTTCTCGAGCTTAATTGCTTGAACTTGACCTTGATTTGTTCTTCGTTCTTGAGCTTGAACTTGATTTGTTATAACTTCTGATGTGGAGGAGTTGTGATAAGAACAAATTATTTCTGACCAATCAAATTGAAGTGTGACATGGATTGCCTACAAATATTCCCTACTTCAAGACTTGCCGCAGTGTAGGATTGTTAGAACTTCAAAGACAAAATCTTGAAGTAAACATTAAATAATTTAAGCCCTTGAGTTTGAAACGTAATTTGTTTCTTAGATATGCCATACCTACCAGACTTGAGAAAATCTTTCAGTTACTTTAGAAAAATTTACGTATTTACTAACATTAAGTAGCTTCCAATCTCAAATTTCAATGAAGTTTGCTTACGTATCAATTGAGATTTAATTGTCATGACTATGATCGGGACCATTTTTCAAGGTAAAAGATATTCACATGATGTCTGACGTGAGTTAACGATGTGGTACAAACCTACACCTTTGTCTTCCAATGAGGAGACAAATACTACATGCAAAAGATATGGAAAAGAATCCTATCCTTACAGTGACTTGTCATACCGTCCAAAATGAATTCAATTTGGAGAAGCCAATGCAAGCGCCTTACAATAACCTACTTCCAACAGGAAAAATAACCGTGTCCCATTAATCCTTCAGTTAGTGTCCTCTATATAAACACCACATTCCATGTCTAATTAGCATCAATCAATTTTTGTCATTTTCAAGCGGCTCTTGAATTCGTGTTTAGAGGACTCCAAAGTGCTAGTACATGAGGTAATTTCTTTTATCTTCTTTTGCGTTTTCTTTGCTTGTTCTTTTTATTTGTAGCCAAGAATAGAAGGATATGTTCTTGTTTAACAAGAGGATCCATGGATACTTATTCCCAATCCAAATATGAGAGATTACTCTCAAGGTGACCCGATTATCGGAGAGATTACTCTCAAGGTAACTCGACTATTGGAGAGATTATTCTCAATGTGGCCCGATTATCGGAAAAATTACTCTCAAAACGACCCAACTATCGGAGAGATTACTCTCAATGTGGCCCGACTATCGGAGAGATTACTCTCAAGATGACCCGATTATTGGAGAGATTCTCATGCTCTTCGTTTCCAAGTAGATGTCAACTACTGCTTCATCTGATCCTTATAAAAGGTGGTGCATCAACCACAATTTTGTATCAAGACTTGCCGTAAGTTTCACGGTTCCTCTTCAAGTCCGGCTGCAATCCCCTCCACTCTGTCTTTGGTCTTGCTAGCGGGTAGAAGTGGTGGCTTAATTAGGACAAAGAAACATTGGTCCATGTTTTTTTTTTTTTTTTTTGGAATTGAAGCTATTGGCTCTTCTTCTATCTGATTATCTAATTTTATTTATGCTCATCTAATTTCCTTTCTTTTGCAGATTCTGCCCAACTTCATATATTTGGGTGCTGATTTCTCTTAGACGATGAAACAATTTTTTTCTTTTTCTGAGAGCCTTGTCGTCGTGCTTCTGAACATACTCAACTTCCTAGCCTTAACTAGCTTCAGACGAGGTGGCTTCGGAGGTTGCCACGGCATTAGAACTACCTATGCTGATGCTTCATAATGATGTTAGATGTTCCAATAACTCTTTGACCAAAAGATATTCAAACCTTTTTTATTAAATCAATTAATGAAAATGAAGAGGTAAATCTCAACCAAGTATAATAAAATCTAGATTAAGTGACGCAAGAGATGAACAAGATGAATGATGATTCCTAGTATGTCGGAAACGAATGATTGCTCATAAATGTGATAACTTTAAATGTAGGAATCAATCGTAATGAATGCAATTGACCTAGATAAAAGATGATGTTTAGATGATTGTAGGATCCTTCTTAATATCGGGCAGAGATGCTAAACTTCAGATCTGTAATCAATGAACAGGGTTGTCTTTTGTATTCACTTTCCGATCCCCTCTTACAAAGTGTTCTCCTCCTATTTGTAAGGGACAATCCTCTTTTAAACCCTAAAAAGGTACAACATAAAGAATATTTGAAAAGCATATTCCTACTGTCTCCCACTATGCTTACACTACTGCAGACGTGGTGCATTCGCTAACCACTTTTGGTCGCTGCCTTTTATAACGATCATGGGACGCTACACCATGATGACCTCGTTCCTTGTCGTACTTAGTAGTGGTCGTGGTCGTCAAATTTAGACCTATACAGTTAGTCCCTCCGCTTGTTGAGGTTGCGGCCCAGTGCGTCCTTGATAAGAGGACATCGCCTATACCTGTGGAGAAATTTGGCTTGTGAATCATAATGGTTCGGCCAATAATGGAAGAGCAGTGCACTTCTTAATATCCCGGATGGTGTAACCTATTGGGAAATGACGTCACTTCCACGTGAGTCATCATTACGCGTCTTCCCGAGGCAGAGACTGATGGCTTGTCGCTTTGGTTTTGGTGCCATTGGCTGTCTTCCGCTTCGATTCTGGCACCACCCAACCCTATAAATAGGTCAAGGGTTTGTTTTTTCAAAAACTCTTAGCCATTTCCTCTTTGGTTATTCTTTCCTGTATCTTCAGTCTGTTTTTGCGATTTCTTCGCTTCCTCTTTCGTTCATTGTTCTTGGTTTTTCGTTTTATCAACACATCTTCTGCCATAGATATGCCTAGAACACACTGGTCACACGAGGGGATTTGTGACGCCACCCTGTTATCAATGGCGCTTCCTTCTGGTGGTGAGGACATGATGATTGAGGAAGGGGACAGTTTTCCCACCGTGGAAGAGATATTACCGAGACACCCTATGTCTCGAAGCGACTTTCTTAAAGAACCTGCTCCTACTCCCACTCCGGTAGTGTCTGAGACTGAGCAGGCTCATATAGAGCATAACATTTCCCCTTCATGTCGAGATGGTTCCGGTGGGAGGGACTTCGTGGAGGTCCATAGACCGGGGTATTGTGCTTTTTACGAATACCCCTTCGTGATTGGTCATTCCTTCCACCTTCTTCCGTTAGCGGAGGAATTCTGCCGGTTTTATGAGGTCTGCCCGGCGCAGCTTTCTCCGTACACGTACACGATAT